ATCTCCATTACAATCACAACAAAAAGAATAAAATACCTAGGAATAAACTTAACAAAGGAGGTGAAGGGCCAAAAGCTACAAGACATTGTTGAAAGAAATTGAAGAAGACATAAAGAAATGGAAAGGTATGCTGTGTTCATGGATTGGAAAAATTAACATTGTTAAAATGACCATGTCACCTAAAGCAATGTACAGATTTAATATTTTTTCCCTATCAAATCCCCTATCAAAATCCCAATGGCATTTTTTCACAGAAATAGATAAAAAAAATCTTCAAATATTTATGGAATCACAAAAGACCCTGAATGGCCAGAGCAATCCTGAGAAAAAAGAACAAAGCCAGAGGTATTACTCCCTGCTTCAAACTAGACTACAAAGCTACAGTAATCAAAACAGTATAATATTGGCAGAAAAATAGACACACAGATCAATGGAACCGAATTGAGAGTGAAGAAATAAACCCACACAGACATGGGCAACTAATTTTCAATGGAGGAGTCAAAAACATACAATGGAGAAAGGAATATCTCTTCAGTAAATGGTGTTGGGAAAACTGGAGAGCCACATGCAAAGGAAGCTAGACTGCTATCTGATACCATACACAAAAATTAGCTCAACATAAAAACTTGAATATAAGACCTGAAACAATAAAATACAAAGAAAACATAGGCATTAAACTTACGACCTTGGTCTCAGAGGGGTTTTTGTAAACTTGACCCAAAGGCAGGGGAAGTAAGAGCAAAAATAAATGAATGGGACTACATCAAACTAAAGAGCTTCTGCACAGCACAAGAAACCATCAACAAAACAAAAAGGCAACCAATCAAATGGAAGAACGTATTTGCAAATGATACCTCTGTTAAGGGGCTAATATCCAAAATATATAAAGAACTCAGCCAACTCAACAAAAAACAAACAATCCAATAAAAAAAATGGGTGGAGGATTTGAATGCCTCCTTTTCTCAGGAAGACATATAGGAGGTCAACAGATATATGAAAAAACGCTCAACATCACTAGCTATAAAGGAAATCAAATCAAAGCCACAATGACATACAACCTCACACCTATTAGAATAGTTATTATCGATAAGACAAGAAATACGTGTTGGAGATGATGTGGAGAAAAGGGAACCCTTGTACACTGCTGGTAGGAATGTAAATTGGTACAGCCACTATGGAAAACAGTATTGAGGCTCCTCAAAAAATTAAGAATAGAATCACCATATGACCCAGCAATCCCTCTTCTGGGTATTTGGGTATTTACAATAGCCAAGACATGGAAACAACCTAAGTGTCCTTCAACAGACGATTGGATAAAGAAGATATGTACAGTGGAATACTCAATCATAAAAGATGAAATATTGCCATTTGCAACAACATGGATGGATTTTGAGAGTATTATGCTAAGTGAAATTAAGTCAGATGGAAAATGACAAGAACTGATGTCACTCATGTGTGGGATATAAAACAAAAAGCAACAAACAAAAAATAAACTCATAGATGCAGACAACAGAATGGTAGTTACCAGAGGGGCAGGGGCAGGGGCAGGAGGGAGGATGAAGAGGCTAAAGGGGGTCAAATATATGGTGATGGAAGACTAGACTTCAGGTGGTGAGCATAGAGTATAGACATGTTATATTATAAAGTTGTATGCCTGATATTTCTTCACCAGTGTTACCCCAATAAACTTAAAAAAGTGTCCTTCAACAATAGTAATGAGGGAAGATAGTGTATATGGGCACAGATGCTTAGGCGGGTGGAGGTGGTGGTGGTAGTCTGTGGAAGTTCTTTTCCAATAGCTTCATTTTCTTGAGGACAAGAAGATGCAGAGTCAGCAGAGAGGGAGAGTGGATGGATCAGGGAATCTTACTATGACTGCAGCATTAAAGACCACTTAAGGTTAGTGATCATTAATTTGAAGTGGGCTGTCCGTGGATTGTTTTTCTCCAGCCAAAGTTCAGTTGCAGAGGTGCACACACAAAGGAGGGAGAGTTGAATTTTATCAGGACTGTGGCTTTGCTAAATCAGTCGGAAAAAGCAATCTAGGGAAGAAAAAGTTGAGGTTATATACAAAGGAATGATTATAGTGATTTACCTGGAATTTAAGCAGGGTAAGGAGGTAAGACTTATGAGAGGCAAGGGACAATAAAAATGCTATGAGATCAATAAATTGGAGGTCCCAATAGGGTGGAAAGATTATGGGAGTTGCAGTGCTAGAACAATGAACTGGAAAGACATAGTAACCAAGGAAGCAAAATATTGTCTCTATTTGGGGCTAGCATTCTAGCATCTGAACAGACATTGTTTGAGAGTCACTTACCTGTTAACTACCAAACTCCTCTTTTTGTATACGGAAGCAAAAATGTTTTGCATGGAGTACTTACTTCCCCCTTCTCCTAGTTTTATTCCTATGGTATTTCTCAATGAAACGATTCCATGAAATCAAGTCTTGTTTTTTTAAAGTGTGAACAGAACCTGCAGATGGATAGGAAGCATGAGCAGGGTCTCAATGGAAGGTGGTGCAGGGTTGTGCACTGCACAAAGGACTCCAGGTTGAAGGCTTGAGTGGGGCTGAGATCCAGCCTGAGCTCTGCTCATTGAGCTGCAGCCCCTTCACCAGCTGCCTTTTGTGCTCACTAAGGTTCATGCCCTGCTATGAGGATGTTCCTAGTGATGTCTTTTCTAATTCACAGAAAGGAGCTATGTAGACCAGAGAACCCTAATAAAAACTGCACATGTGCTATAAGGTTTTACCCAGAGGGCTAGACTCAGCAGGCAGATTTGTTTTTCTGCTGAGAAATCCCTCAAAAATAGAACAAGTTATCAGTCCTTTTAAAGGAAAAAACCCAGTATTATACTTTCTCAATTAAATGCATAGAGTAGCTCTTTATAATAGTTTTTATTTGGATAATTAAATTTTGCTTTACCTCAAACCAATACATGGCTTTCTAGATCACTGGTATTTGAAAAAATGATGAAGTATGACTCACATGAATTATTAATGGATCACTGCTGCCTCCACTGTTTCTTGTCCATTTATCAGAAAAATGTTAGGTTAGACTAACATAAGATATTTATAAAAACCAGTTGATTTTTTTTTTTTGATAAGCAATGTGAAAGAGCGGGCAGAAATTATTTACATAGGTGCTCATTTACTATTTGAAGTTCTTGTTTAATGTATCAGTTCATTTTGAGATACATTACTTATCAATGGTCCATGAGTTTTCAGGTACCTTTAGATATGCAAATGTTTAGTCTCCTTAAACTATTAAGCTTTACATAAAAACATCTGCAAAGGTTGTTTTCTGGGGATAAGAATTCTGGCAACCACTCATTGAATTAAACACATAATACAGAACAGTTTTGTGGAGACGAAATCATCCAAGCTGGCTGAAAAGCAAATATTAGCATAAGGGATAAGCCACAACCTGGAGACTTAACAAAGGCTATTTTTGCACTTTTATAGTCAGTAGTTAACCCAGGGAATGCTGTTATGAGGTAGCTCAGGATCGTTTTCCCTAATTTAATAGTAACAGAGAGTGAAATGAGGCAATCCAACTAAGTTCGCAGGAAAATCAAGAATCTCCACCCCCAAGAGATTTGTGGATTACCCATGTGACCGCTTTGCCAACTCTGGTGCTCTTCCTTTAGGCACACGGAACATTTTCACTGACACACACAGCAATGCTGATTGTGATTTTGCAAGCTCAGCACCATTCTCAATTATTCTCCATAGCTAGGCTTTCATCAAAGACCACGCTCCTCTCTTCTGAGCCCCTTTGAAGACAATGCAACTTTCTCTTTTATCTTCACCTAGCACTGCAATCTTTGGGCAGGAAAGGGAAAGTAGGAAACATGGAAGAGTATGCAGGGGACAGCAAGGATAGTGGGAACTGAAATGCTCTCTCGCAGGCCCTGATGATGGCTCTCCACAGGGATACTCATTATTTTACTTAAAAGTACATACAATGGGGCCGGTCGAGTGGCGCATTGGTTAAGAGCTGGCTTGGGACGCCAGAGGGCCCCAGTTCAGGTCCCACATATGAGGGCCAGTGACACTGCCCTCCACAGCTAAGATGCTGAACAGCTGCTCAACCTGGAGCTGGGCTGCCATGAGTCACTGGCGACGACGTAGGCTGCAGCCCCTGTGGCAGTGGGTTGCCATGGGCTACCGTATGTAGCCAGCAGCCAGCGTGAGCGGCCAGCAGCCACAGTGAGCGGCCGTCCAGAAGCCAGCGACTGATCTGCCTCACCCGGGAAGAGCACAATGATGGTGCCAACTTGGGCCAGTGAAGCAACGTCCTCCACAACTAGACTGAAGAACAAAACGACAGCAACTTGTCTGTTCCCCTTCCCCCCAATTCCCCAGCGCTGTTCCCATCCCTCAATCCCCCAATAAAAATCTTTGAAAAATAAAGTACGTACAATGAAATTCCAGAACAGCCAAATTCCTAGTCTTACCTATGTATACAATGACACGCTAAAGCAAAATACATGTTTTCCCCCAAGTAATTTCCTATTAAAAATTATTCATACCATTTGTGTGGAAATAAAGACCAAACTGCAATATGCTTTACAAGTTTAGTGTAGAAAGTTTGGTTCCTGAGTGCTGGTCCTGAGGATGGCAAATCTAAATGACAAATGAAATAAATATGTCATTTATTTGAATAAACTGAGCAACTGATTGAAGTGGTATTTGATCGATAGGAGGGAAAATGCTACAGCTGAATTATGTTAAGAACTTTAGAATATGCTTTGATATGCATATATTAAAAGTTAGATTAAAAAGAATCTCAGTTTAACAGCTTCGGTTTACTATTTCAGGGGAGAGGAAGGGGAGGATACTCTTAGACGGTGTGTTTGATATGTGCCTAGTTAATAATGAGGTTCTTTCACCCATTGCAAAGTACATATTAGTGCAAAATTTTAGTACCTAGTAGGCTATATAACATCTCTATAACAGTAATAGTTAATAATATCAGTCAATAAGCCAGTAAATCTTAGGTTGCATAAATGTGCAGATTTTACTGCATTTCTCAGGCTATAGTATTATTTTTCAAGTTTTTGTTTTTCTTTCACATTATGCATTTATTTCCCTTTGATTTAATCACAAGTATTTTCTTTAATATAAGCTATTTTAAGTGTAAACATTATTCCTAAATAGCTTCAGATTCATTCTATTAGTTAAAATAAACTCAGGCAGACATTAATCCAATTTGAATAACTACATATAAATGAGACTACAGCACTATCTAATCTGGAGTGTCAATTCCATTCAAGAAGGCTTTTTATACATGAATATACAAATACTTTATGTTCAGATGCTTTCACTTTTAAGGTATTCCCTTGAAAGGGATGTCAAAAAAGTATTAAATAAAAAAGGTTTCAAACTTTCTGTTGGACTATGATTTGAGGGAGATGAGTGGAAATGACAACTGATGGTTACATAAGTAGACACCTTTGTGGTAATATGTGAAAGTATAAATTAACTCCAACCCTCATTATTCCCTGAATCCTTTGCTGTGAAATTACAGTGTTATTTTCAAAGGCTATTCTGCTTTTATTGAAATGCAACAAACAGTTAATGAGCACCTACTATATTGCTTATTATGTAGTTCAGTTAATTTGTCCCTAACAAAAGAGATAAGGCCACAGATGACCTTATCTCTTCTTTTGTGTATATATGTGTATGTTTGAAGCTGTTTGCATACTTTTGTTTAATTTGCTTTTTGAAGCTGCTTGGAGAGGTCTCATCTACTTTTTAGCAGTTGGTTGGTTTTATAAAGGATCTCAGAAGGCAAACATAGCACTCCCAGATCTGCCAGAAATAGTTCTTTGAAGATTCATTTTCTTGAGGGGTACTACTTTGCTCAGTGGGTGAAGGCTTGGGTATAAAAATGGAACAGAGACTTTCAAACAGTTCTGCAGAAACTTCACTTTGGTCTCTGGGCTTCATTGTCCTTAGTAATTGAACCTGTCACTTGGCTTGCATTCTTTATGGCTGAGGTTATCTTAAAACAGAAACGGTAGGAAAGCTTTCCTGTGCTTTGGATAGGAGACAAACTTGCTTTTGTAAAATCTGTGGGTGAGGAGAGCAGACAGGGCCTGGCTGAAGAAGACATATGTCACCACTAGCCACCAAGTGAAGTTGTGAAATCCAAAGGTGACAGACATGGAAATGTAGATCATCAGTTCTGCTAAGTAGTTAGGGGAAGAAACATATTCAAACCAGTCTCCAAAAGGGATTCGGTGCTTACAGTGAATGACCACTCCTGAAATGGAAAAAGAAAACTTCCTGAACATTTAAAGCTACAAAAGGAAAAGTTTTATCACATCATTCCCAAAATCACTTACAAAAACTCTTATTTAGAAAAGAGTATGACAGACCTGTGTGCAAACCACCATCCTATCCCACTTCCATTGGCAATCTATGTATTTTAAAAATTGCATGGTAAGGTTATACTATCAACTGTAAATAACCACAAAAGGAAAGCCCATTTCTCTAATAATCCACCAAGCTAGAAATATGGAGCTCAGACTCTTGAGTGAGACTGCTCAAGTTCAAATCCTGGCTCTGCCACTTACCATCTCTGCAACTTTAGGTAAGTTGTTTCCCCTCTCTGTCCCTCAGCTTCCTCATCTGTAAAATGAGGATAAGACTGTACCAACCTCAAGTGAGTATTGTGAAGCTCTATGTAAAGTACTCAGAATGGAGCCCAGCACAAAATAAGCATTCAATAAATGCTTATTCAGGGCCGGCCGAGTGGCACGATGGTTAAGAACTGCCTTGGGACGCCAGAGGGCCCCGGTTCGGATCCCACATATGAGGGCCAGTGACATTGCCCTCCACAGCTAAGATCTGAACAGCAGCTCAACCTGGAGCTGGGCTGCCGTGAGTCGCCGGCGACGGCATAGGCTGCAGCCCCTGCTGCAGTGGGTTGCATTGGGCTACCGTGTGTAGCCAGCAGCCAGCATGAGCGGCCAGCAGACGCAGTGAGTGGCCATCCAGAAGCCTACGACTGATCTGCCTCACCTGGGAAGAGCGCAATGATGGTGCCAACTTAGGCCAGTGAAGCAACGTCCTCCACAACTAGACTGAAGAACAAAATGACAGCAACTTGTCTGTTCCCCTTCCCCCAATTCCCCAGTGCTATTCTCATCCCCCCAATTCCCCAATAAAAATCTTTAAAAAAAAAAATCCACACTCAGTGGCTCTAAAAGATGCCTCACCTGCTTTATTTTTCCTGAGACTGCCAAGAATGACGTGGCACTTATACTGATGAGCAGATGACCAGATGAACATCATCATTCCGAGGATATGGAACCATCGCGCTTGCATGAAGAGATTCTTCCCTCTCACATAGACTACAGAAAGAAGGATTATTAGCTAATGCTGCAAAATTTCAGAGGCTTGGGGAATTAAAAAATCATACAGTCAGTAGAACACATATGATTACCCACTTTTTCTGTTCCTCATGACTAGAAAATTGTCCTGGTAGAATTTTGCAAGTGCAGAGGGGAGAACTGGGTCCAGGAGATTTGCTCCTTAGCCAGGGGCAACTTCAATGGCCCCCTGCAGAGATTTCCATAATGATACTTTCTCTTGTTTCTTCTTCAAATGCTTTAAGCACAGAGTTTATCTCTGTTTCCTACTCTTGTGTGGTGAGACAACTCTGCACTTCTATTTCTAAGTCTGGTTTTATGTCTTCTTTCTTACACTACTGTTAGGAAAACACTGTCTGAAATCTCTCCCTGAGCTACTAGCCTAAGCCATTGTTAGGGAGGCCCGGAAGGCCAAACGCTGACTTGCTTGGCTCCAGCCAATGAAGAAAACCATTGGAAGTAAAGGCTCAGAATGGGGCTTCTCAAAAAGGAGAAATGTAAATTCCAAGATGAAAGACAACACAGTACCCCTTTATGATAGAGAGAACCTAGTCACAGAGATTTAGTTTTAGGAAAAGAAACACTCAAACTATTATCTTCCTCTTTCTTCTCCAGCTATAAGGAAGAAGAGAAGAATGTAGATCTTTTAAGAACGGGTATCAGAAAACCAAATTAAGGACCTCCCTATGATCAGCAGGAAGCAGTCAGGTTGGTTAGGGACTTGGCTGAAGAAACAAAGTTGTCCACTGACAACAGGGAAGAGCCCTGAGGCTCTGGAGCCAGGAGGGAGACCCTACAAAGCTGATTCAGGTAAAAGCGAGGGTCACACTACTCCATATGGGTACTTGGAAGTAGGGCTCAGCTGATGACAGCTTATGACTAATGAGAATCCAGCAAAGTCTACCTGTGTTAATTTCTTTAAAAACTTGCTTTATATAAACAATCAACTATAGTCTCTTAATATTAACTAGGCTTAGCCATTTAAAAGTTTTTAATATAATTTTTAAATAATTATAATTTAAAAATAATTTTTAATATAAAAACTTTTGTAAGTCAAAAAAAAGCAAAATATGAAAAATACAGTTTTAAATCAAAATGGCTTTAAATAAGAACAAGTCACTATAGGATTAAAAGTTAAAGCAAGTATCTGGGAGTTCACATCATTACTGAGTCACCTACTCTAAATGCGGAAAAGTTACCTATGAGGGAAAAAAGATCTGTAAGAGTAAGTTGGAATTATGATGCAGGAAAGGACAGGCAGGTAGAAGGCTCATATTTACTGAGAGTCTAATCTCTGTAGTACTTAATTATTCATTAATTACTTGATGGGTGTCTATTGAACCTAGCGCTATTGAAGGCATGAGGCATAAAGCAGTGACTACATCAGGCAAGATCCAGTCCTCATAAACTCGCATTCTAGAGGCAAGAGACAGACAGAAATGGGTAAACAAATCAATAACCCAGAGAATTTTGGGTAGAGATGGTACCCTACGTGAAAAGAAAATAGAACAGTGTAATGGAGAGTGACTCGCTCTAGGCTTTGAAGACAAGGAGATGTGAAGATCTGGGTAGTTTACAGATATTTTTTCTTTTCACTTTCACAAGAACCCTCTGAAATCAGTGTATGTTCCTACTTACAGATGAAGGATCTGAAGCGCAGAGAAGATTAATTAAGCCAGAATTCAGACTGAGGCCCACCTGATTCCCAAGCCCATTTCTATCAGACCCTGCAGCTGGTAAATGCCCCAGTCTATTCTTTCTCAATGAATGCCTGAAACCAGTTCTCCCCATATTGTTCCAACTGACCACAGATGACCTCTGGAAGGACAAACTGGTGAAACAAAAGACAGTTTCAGAAAGGAGTGTCTAGAAAGCTATTTTTGTGGGTGACTTGGCTGGCTTTCGTTCACTAATTATATAGGAGGGAGAGTAGAAGGTGGGGTCCAGCCAGCAGAGAAAACTCCAGAAGAGATATGTGATTGCAACAGAAACTAACAGACTGAAAGCTGGTGGGTTACCCAAGTACTTAGGAAAGTTCCTCGGGGTGGAAAACCTCTACTATGACAGCTAAACAATGGTATTGGGCTGCGCATGAATGCCACAGCAGAAAGTGCAGGAAAGAAAAACTGACTTAAGTACAGAGGAATTAGATGGAGAGATGCTAGCTGAGTGGCTAGAGCCAATAAATAATTCATGAATTGAGAAAGATCATCAATAAGATGTCTTGAAAATCATTCCTCAAGCCATCGCGGCCTTGGGTTGCACTACAACAAGAGAGTGAAAGGACGTTCAAGGGGCACTCTGATACTGAAATCGAACCTGAGGAGAAAGCTCACTCACTGAGGATTGGAATTATCCAGATCTTGGTCTCAGTTTATGAGGATGGATAGGGCAGCTTCAGGAAGCACGGAGGCCTTGGACTTAAGAGAAATAAAAAATCTACCCTACAGTGTCAGAGCAGAGAGATACCAATAAAAAAATCTACCCTACAGTGTCAGAGCAGAGAGATACCAATAAAAAAATCTACCCTACAGTGTCAGGGCAGAGAGATACCACGACTGCTAGGTGAAGTTAACCTCAGCACTAAAAATTCATTTCAGTCACCCCAAAGGCTTGATTCTTTTTCATAAGCATGTGTTTTTACCTAAATGCTAGTCATGTATGTTAGATATCCCTCCACCCCCCAAAAAAACCCCCTTCATGTCCTCCTTATAAACAAAGGTCATGATTTTGGTTCCCTCTTCCTGGTTAGTAAGAGCTCAGAAACGTCAAGACACAATTTTGATTTAGCACAGTACTCGGCCTCTCCTCTCAGGCTGCCTGACTTGAAGAAACGTTTTGTTGTAATGGCAACAAAATGGCTTCCTACGCCCTCTTCAAATTACAACTATTCATCACGAGTCCAAGCTACCTGCTCCTTCTCTAGTTTTCTATGATTAAATCCTGCACCACAATTTCCCCTTTCCCAGCCTCACCCCTCACCCTTTTACACAACCACCCCAGGATGACTGAGGCTTTGGTGAAGCAACTTTCTTTGCTGACTCTTTCTCCTGTTCTTGGGTGTCACCTGCTTCCTGCTCAACTCTTGACCACACTTCCTCTTTCTCTTCAGACTTACTCCACATGAGTTCATTGATTTCACTCCCACTGAGGAAAACCTCATATCCCATTTCGTCATCCTTAAATTGAACCTCCTGAATACTTTTCACTTTACTATCTTTACTGAAGGCATTACTGCTTATGTTGGTGTCTTTCAGGTTTTAGCAGTTACGGTTAATGTATAATATATACCTCTGGTCATGTTGATGTTTTAAAGATACTATTAGAGTCCAGACTCCTCAAATGCAAAGTGGATTCGGCAGGTCTCCTATTTTGAAACTTCCATAATGCTTGGCGGAGCATGAATACCTCATGCATCCAGTGACTCAGCCAACAGACCCCAAGGACCACTCACCATTCCTGCCGTCCATTGGCAATTGGCTCAGCACAGTTAAGCCGATAAGGATATAGTAGATGATTCCAAAACAGTAATGCACGACGTGAATCATGGCATTGGAGAAGACACTGACATAGAGGCACTCGAAGAGTCTTCGCAAACTGTGTAGCCACAGAAACACTAATACTAAGAATGCAGACAGCGCCAGTTCACCCCCTACAATTCAGAAAGCAACACGTTCAGCATTTCTCTTTTGGTGATTAATCCAAAGTTATATTTTCCCCCCACTGCTACACATAGTATTAAACAAAGTTAGAGCTAGGAAAGAGCCCTAGAAATCATCCAGTCTAACACCTTCCTTTTTTTAGCAATGAGGAAGTAGGCCAAGTAAGTCAAGGAAGTTTGCTCCAGGTTACACAGTAAGCTAGTGACAGAGCTAGGACAAGCTCAGGTCTGTTGACTCTTGTTCGCCATGTGAGAGCCTTCCAGGTTGCATGGACATCATTGTGAGGGGTCTGTGCACTCAGAACCCAGGGTCTGTGGGTCTCTGGTCCATGGCGCTAATAATAATGAAGATGGTCAGGAAGAGTTCCCAGATGACCTCTGAGCAACCCCACCTGGTAGGATCCCTGAGGTCAGGGGAGAAAAGACACACACACACACACACAGAGGCAGAAAGGGGGATAGGAACAGACAGGGAGAATTATTCATTCCTTTCCATATTAAAAAAAAAAGAAATTATACATTTAGGGGACTGTGAGCCTTGAGATCGATCTATCTTCCTACTTGCCTTTCACCCCTCTGCCCAAATGGAAGTTAGAAGAAATGCTTTTTAAAATGACATAAAACCTACATTTTTAAAAGTGAATATCGCGCGCGCACACACACACACACACACACACACACACACACACACAATAAGTAAACAATTTAATGGATTTTTACAAACTAAATCAACCCACCCCATCCGTTTAACCAGCACCCCATCCAGAAACAGAACATGACCAGCACCCCTGTTTCCTTTATAGGTACCTGCCCCCTCCCAACCCACTCTCCAAAGGGTAAGCCCTGCCCTGACTTTTGTCAGCTGTAAATTAGTTTAGCCTGTATTTGTATTTTAAATATAGTAAAACCTAATTTACACTCTTTAGGAATAGGTTAGAACAAATATCCAAATAAAAGTCCTCACAACCAACCCTGAAAACCCAGTCCCACATGAATCCAAATGAAGAGATGGTTTCAATGCCTGAAGTGGGATTCACTGAGGTATCCTCCCCTCCCAAATAGGATTTGCATACAGTTTCCCTTCTGACTCTGATCTTTTGCAACAAGTTTCTCTGGTTACAAAGAAAAGGATTGTTCCTAGGGAGCTAGTGGTGTGGCTGCTGGAACAGGACAGAGATAGTCATCAGAATGCTCTATTTCTAATTCTGCCCCTCACCCGCTGCCTGACATTAATTGAAGCCACTTTATTGTTTTCACCTTCAATACCTTATTTTAAAATTGTTCTTTATCTGAGGAAAATGTAATGGCTACTTTATAATCATCTGGTCAACAACTATTTAGGCAATTTTATTATATAACCAAAGTTTTATAGCATAACGAACATTTTTAACCAATGATTGAAAATTTTCTAACAAATTTCTGGAGTTCTGAGACACGATTTTGGTTGGACTACATAAGTGATGAGTGTTTCAAGGCAAACCCAAGGGATCCTAAAAGCTTTTCCCCTAAGTCTATAAAGACTTCTGTGTAAATTTATCAACAGTTCGAGAAATATCAGAGGGAGAACAGCCAGTCCTGTACTTAGCCAACACTCGCTGGGAAGTCAGGGACGAAGAGCTAACTCTTAACTCTGTCATGATCTCAACGAAGGATGTGGGGACATCGTCTTGAGATGGCTGTGAACCATGCAGAACTCTTTTGCCCTCACTTTCCACTTCTCAGTTCCTGCTGAGGTGGAGCCTGAGAGTGGCTATGAAATACCCAGAACAGCTTCCTGCAGGCAGGAAGGACACGAACAGGACGCGATGGCTGGCTGTGATTAGCCAAGGCACTGATTACCTTGGAAGTGCGCAGCCCCAAGAATTCTGAGTACAGTGTGAAGCCAGTATGGAAAAGGTGCTCCCAGGAACAGAGATTGAGTAAGGCACCAAAGCAGGAAGCCATTCCACAGCACTGAGATGACATAGAAGTGAACAAAATACCTGCAAAGGGAAAACAGGTTAGGCAGTAATCGAAGTAGAGCCACTTTATATGCAGGAAGACTATTTTTAGGTTCTTTTTCTTCTTTCCCCCATTCCCAAAGTATACTTTTGCTTTTTAATAGATCCTGAATCCTACAGGTGTTCAGATTTTTAAAATTTCCTTTCAAATGATGGGACCGGTTAACTCACAGGAAAAAAAGAGGACTCCTGAGGTTAACAAGAATACAGTGGACTCTGTTAAACTTAGATTGAGGGTCAATTAACAATTGCTCTTATCGCTGGGTAACTGGATTGGGCTCAAGTTCCAAAATAGGGGGAGCCCAGACCCTGGGACAGAGAACCCCTAGATTGTGCTAACACAAGCCAAATCTGTGAAAGATTTCTAAATCCCAAGCAATACTGCTGCAATAGCCATACATCTGTTACACAACATTTGCACAATTATAGGCTCTCAGGTCTGTAAGAAACTTTAGAGTTCTTCCGATTCAGTGATTTTCTAAATTGTGCTAATCTAAATGGCTTAGATGACAAATATTAACTCATAAAACTAGGTATCAACTCCTGATAGTTACAGCTCTCATAGTTACAACTACAATGCCTATTCTGCAATCAACCGTTACAAATGAAATACAAATAAAACCACCAAACCAATAAAAATTTCAATTAGCGGGCCGGCCAAGTGGCGCACTGGTTAAGAGCTGGCTTGGGACGCCAGAGGGCCCTGGTTTGGATCCCACATATGAGGGCCAGTGACACTGCCCTCTACAGCTAAGATGGTGAACAACAGCTCAACCTGGAGCTGGGCTGCCGTGAGTCCACGGTGACTGCAGGTGGGTTGCCATGGGCTACTGTATGTAACCAGCAGCCAGGGTGAGCGGCCGAAGCCGGCAACTGATCTGCCTCACCCGGAAAGAGTGCAATGTTGGTGCCAACTTGGGCCAGTAAAGCAACGTCCTCCACAACTAGACTGAAGAACAAAACGACAGCAACTTGTCTGTTCCCCTTCCCCCAATTTCCCAATAAAAATCTTAAAAAAAAAAAAAATTTCAACTAGCAATGTTAATTTGATGTAAAAGATGACGTTTTGCTGAGATTACCTAATATGGCACTAGAGCCGAACGGGTTTTTTTGAGGCCCGTTTACTATTTTTCCCCATTCAAACCAGTTCAAAACCATTCTCACTCTGCAGGGTACCTGGAGGTCATTTGGCCTTCCTTGGTCTTCAGTACATCCTGAATAAATTAAGACCTCTCCCTCTTGTCTCATTAGACTGTGACAAAGTAAGATGACCTGGAGTCAGGAGAAGTAAACAGAAACTCAGGGACTCCCTTTCCAGATAACCCAGAATATTCTTGTATCAGAACTCACCGCTCCCCCTCCCCACAAGACCATGCCCACAACCCAATCTGACAAACACTGATCTAATCTGATCATTCCATAGTAACCCACTTAATTCTCCCAACTACAGTTACAAATTCTATCACTGGATCTGCCCTCTCTGAGCCATCCTGTTATTCCTGATTCTGATCTTCCTCAGGCTCAAGAGCTTAGTTTCCTCAAAAATTCATGTCAGTGTCAATTCCATGGCCCCCCCATCCACCCTCCTTTGGTCTTCGGTTGCCTTCCAGGGTCTTAAGACACACTTCTGAGAACTGAGCCCAGGTCTGGTCTGAGTAGCAGGAGCAGAGCTGAACATCAGTAGCAACTGCTCTGCCGGCTCCCACAGAAAGGGAAGGGGCCAGCTTCCAAAGAGCAGCTTCTGAGCCAGTCACTTTACCTATTTCATTTTTGCACAAATATTTATTGAGCACTTAAAACATGCCAGACAACATTCTTGAAGCCAGGGACTCAGCAGGGAGCAAACAGACCAGGTCCCTGCCTTGATGTTTATCTTTCTGCAGACAGCAAATGAACCTGTAGACCTCTAGCTAATGCTGGGTGAAGGGGCAAAGGGGGTGCACAGGGGAGGCCATTCTGGATGGGTGGTCAAGAATGGCCTCTCTCCAAGTGATATTTGGCTAGAAACCCTTGTGAATTTGCAGGGAAGAATTTCCTAGGCAGAGAAAAGGACAACCACAGAGGCCTGGAGGATCAATAAAGAACAGCTCTGTGGAGAGGGCTAGGTAGTAAGGCGGGAGGGGCAGATGCTTTAGGGTCACGTAAGGACATTGACTTTTATTAAGTGTGAAGGAAAGCCATGTGAGCAGAGTAACAATTTATGTTTTAGAACTCCTTCTGCCTGATAGGAAAGTTGTGGAAACTGATGGTGGTGATGGTTGCACAAAAATGTCAGTGTACTTAAAGCCACTGGGCTGTGCACTCAAAATGGGTTAAAATGGTAAATGTCATGTCATGTATATTTTACCACACACAAAAAAAGAGCATTGCTCATTCATTTTACTATTTTTTAAGTTAAAAAAACAATCCCCCTGGTAACTAGGTAGAGAATAGTCTAGTTGTGGGGAATCCAGTTACTGAAAGATTCATTCGTTTCATCTTCACAATCCCATAAAGTTTATGTGGTTATATTCACGTGGCAGATGAGAAAACTAAAGCTCAGAAAGGTTAAATTACTCAAGGTCATGTACTAAGTGGCCGTGTTTGGCTCCAGACTCAGCCCTGATGACTTTGAAGTTAAGATCACACAGCTGCGCTCCTACTGTTCACACAACCTAGACGGCCCGAACCTGCTTTTCTGGCCCTATGTTACATGTACCCATTTATACCAAGCCTAAAGCCCACTAAATCACTCAAGTATGTTGGCATAAGCCACATCCTGCTGTGCCCAACTTGTGCCAAAGTGTTTTTGATTCATGGGAAGGCTATTTTTCTTTTTCTTTTAAAGATTTTTATTGGGGAATTGGGGAAGGGGAACAGACAAGTTGCTGTCCTTTTGTTCTTTAGTCTAGTTGTGGAGGACGTGGCTTCACTGGCCCAAGTTGGCACCATCATTGCGCTCTTCCCCGGTGAGGCAGATCAGTCACTGGCTTCTGGACGGCTACTCACGGCAGCTATTGGCAGCTCACTCCAGCTGCTGGCCACTCACGCTGGCTGCCAGTCACTCACCGTGGCTCATGGCAGCCCACTGCAGCCTCACTGCAGCCTATGCCGACGCCGGTGAGTCAGAGCAGCCCAGCTCCAGGTTGAGCTGTTGTTCACCATCTTAGCTGTAGAGGGCGCAGGGTCACTGGCCCTAATGTGAGATCTGAACCAGGGCCCTGCTGCTCAGAGCTGACGTCCCAAGCCAGCTCTTAACCAACGCGACACTTGGCCGGCCCCATAACAGCCTTTTAATCCCGCCTTCTCCACACAATGGCTAGTCATCCTTGCAAAACATAAATCATACAATGCTATGTTCCATTCCAGCCAAAAGCCATCAATGGCTTTCCATACACTCAGAATAAAATCCGATCTCCACCATGATCTGTAAGGCCCGGATGAGCAGTGAACTCATCTGCTGCCCTACCCCAACCTGACCATCCTTTCTAGCTTTGTCACTGCCACTGCCACCCCCACCAGTTTTGCTCTTGATCAAGTGACCCTAATGGATTTCCTCTGAAGCACTTATTACACCTGAAATTATTTTACTTGTTTTACAAGATTTGTTTACACATTTACTGTTTTACAAGAACAAAAGCTCCAAGGAGTCTAGAATAGCTCCTGAAACCTAGTCAGTACTACTCTATAAACACTAGTTAAAAATGAATGAAAGAGAAGGTATTTTACCTAAAGTTACTCTCAGAGTAAGCGTCAAGTTAACCCAGAAACCGATTAAAAAATTCTTTCAAAACATATTAATCAAAGACCTTACTATTTGTTAGGCATTGAGCCAGGGATATGGTAACAAACAAGACAAATGTAAATGTATGGAAATTGTATAGTCTAGAGCAGAGGTTCTTAATATTTATCTTCCATGGATTCCTTGTATGGTTAAGGCTATAGGCCTCTTCTCAAAATGTTACTACAAGCATAAAATACATAGGGTTTCAAAGGAAACCAACTGTATTGAAATATAGATAACACAACTACTAACAAATCTGTAATATATTAATATGTGTGCTTAATGTCAAATTACAGGATCTAGTGGGGGAATAACTACAGTATTCTTCTAGTGATGAAAATGTTTTGAGGTCTCTTCAGTATTTTTAATGTAATATAAAAAAACTGTCACAAAATTGTAGGCATTGCTAATTCTACTGTGGTTTGTTGATTACACTCATCATTAAGGAAATGCTGAATTCAGCCAGAGGTTTGTGAAAGAGAGATGTAATTTTTTTTCCAATCAAAGTTTGCCCAGGATGCTATCCATGGATCTCCTACACCTCTAGTTAGGACCCCTGGACCCCAGGGGGGAAACTCTGGACGGCTGCTCTCTTTGCCTGTAGAGCTCCATTCAGTTGCAATGTTTCCATACCATTTTGAAATTTTAGAAACAGGAGAAGTACTTCCATATACACTATGCAAGTCAAGACCATTGTGACTCTTGTTGGAAGTCATATATTTATTCAGACTTTCTGGGATATTAAAACTCTGGGAAACAAAAAGAAACAAGAAAACCAACCATCATCTTAATTAAAAAAAAAAATCTACCAGATAGGGATAATGGAATCAAACATACACTCCACGAACTAAGGTTTTATTCTTGCCTCCTTAGGAAAAAAAAAATCCCAAACAAAATTAAGCACTGTTTTTAGGTGCAGAAACAGGATTTATAGCTGCCTACTTCTAAGTGTACGAGGTTGGACAAATAAGTTCACGAACTCATCCTAGAAAAAGTGCTACATACCTCATTGCTGAATATCACTACAGTCACCTTCGAAGCACTCCCCTTGGGAAGCTATGCACCAATGCCAATGTCTACCCCACCCTTCAAAGCAATTCTGTAACTCTTTTTCTAGAATGGCCATCAGAGCTGTCATCATATTACTCTTGATGTCCTGAATGTCATCAAAATGTCTTCATTTCAATATTTCCTTTAACTTCGGGTAAAGAAAGAAGTCATTGGGGGCCAGATCAGGTGAGTTGGGAGTGTGTTCCAATACAGTTCTTTGTTTACTGGCTAAAAACTCCCTCACAGACAGTGCTGTGTGAGCTGGTGCATTGTTATGATGCAAGAGCCATCAATTATTGGTGAAAAGTTCAGGTCATCTTACCTTTTTCATGCAGCCTTTTCAGCACTTCCAAATAGTAAAGTTGGTTAAATGTTTGCCCAATTGGTACAAATTCATAAATAATCCCTCTGATATCAAAAAACGGTTAGCAATATTTTGCAACAAGTTTGCGAACTTAATTGAACTTAGTTGTAAGACCTCGTATAATATTAAAAAATTCTAGGTTTATTTTCACTTTCAATAGTACTACTGAATTTTGCACAAGGAAAAATATTTAAATAAACATCGAGGCATTTTTGCCTTTCATTATTGTCCTGGATTTGCTGTACCATCTCCAGTGTTAAAAGAAATATTTAAGTTTAGAGGGCTGGCCAAGTGGCTCAGTTGGTTAAGAGCTCGCTCAAGAGTTTAAGCTCTGAGCAACAGCGGTTCGAGTCCAGCCCGAGCTGAGCAGCCCCTGAGCTGCCAACAGGTAGCAGGATGGCTCAGCTTAAAAAAAAAAAAAAAAAAAAAAAGAAAAAGAAATATTTAAGTTTAGAAAAAAAGCAAAACAAAATACCATGGGTGTTTCCACTCTAGAATTCTGGAAGAAGAAAAAGGCATAAATTATTTCATAGTATAATAGAAATTAAAAGAAGCACAAAGAATACCAATTGTTGTAATAAATAAGGGAAAAGTAGCAAGTCCGTTTCTTGGCTGTCATATGACAGACTTAAGTAGTAACAGCTGGAATATGGAAGCCAGAGAACTAGGTAAGTGCACAGAATGACTTAAAATGTGTCCTTTAATCAACGGACACTAATACGTTTTTCAAAATTCATAAAAGAAATGTTATAATTCACTCTCTAAGAAACATTTTTTTTCCTTCACTTGATAACATTAAAAAGTGACAACCTTGGAATGCCCCTGCTATAAAATAGAAAAGGACATGCTGCAATGAAACTTGATAAAAAAATAGGTCAGATAATTTTCACTTAAAAAGAGCCTCTAAAGACTAGGTTTTTAACCAATTAGTCTTGAATACTTCCACTTTTTCCCCCAGGGCCTCATTCCATTTACCTTTCCTCAGAATGCTAAATGAAATGAGGCTTTAGTTCTCTGTTCTCAGTGTAACACCTGATGAATCTTGCTCCAACACTCAAAATTGGGGGATTATCCACATTTCAGAAGCCAAGTTATACTTAGCCCCTTTTTTCGTCTGTGGGCCTGGGCACTCTGCCTATGTGAGGTTTAAGGGATAACTCAGGTGTTTCAATACATCAGAAACTGCAAAACATTATTCCAGCTTCCTGCCTAAATGCCAACTTAAGGTTCATCTTTGTGGACGGAAAAGGGGCCACATATTAAACCTGACAAGCTCAGGAGACTGAAAAATAACCACATAAGGTGGTCTGAACATAAAAATTCCTAACTAAAAGTGAGTTATGGCCAGTAGTCACATTCTTGGCCTGTAGCTTCCTTGACAAAGGTCAATCTTTACCTTAAGTGAGCTTATGGCATCTTTTTGCATCTAAGACAACATACACTTGCAATATCAGAGTCATCTCTTCTTCCAGACAAAACCCACTACACCAGAGCACCATCTACAAAATCCCTCATTGTTATCTTGTTCCTGAAATACCATCTTCTATGTGCTGTAAAACGCTATTAACTATCCTGTACCCACCAATGTAAAAGAAGTGTGTGTCTCTCCATTTTACTTTTTATCCAGTTCCAGAGATTTCCTGGCTTTTATTCCCCAGGGATTTCTCCCACCCGCTTAATCTACAGCCAATGGATTCCTTGTTAACCCTCCTCCTTTGATTCTAATGTATAAAATAAATTGCAAAACGGCCATTTCCTGGAGCATTTTCTCAATCCGTTGAGATGTTGCTTCCTGGCAACTGTCGTGAGTTTGGCTCAAATAAACTCTTACAAGCTTTCTCTTAGGCTGGATGTTTTTTCATAGACAAATTAAAAGAGAAAGGCCACGGCTATATTCTTACCATCTAGAAGTGTTTGATTGACTCTTACCAGCTATCTTCTAAATTCAAAGTAAAAAAACCCAAAAAACCAAACTATAACAAATCTTACAATTTTTGAAAAAGTTCTATTTAAGCCCTAACGATTTCCTCTTTTGTTGATTTTGGTTATGAAATCTGTTAGAAGTCAAAGTCTCAAGCCGTGCCATCACGGGCAATTCTCTCAGGGGCACCTGCTGAGGTGCGGGTTAGGAGGGTCAGTGCAGCGGAAGGAGGTGTAGCCAAGTGTGGGGACCAGCATATCGCCCTCTGGCTGGGAGGGTCGGGGAGACGAATAGGGGAAATACAGCGAAGGACAGGAGTGCCTTCATTTCTAGTGAGTTCTGGCCACCTCAAATTAGATTGTGAGCCCCTAGTGTGCAGGGAAGGGGAAAGAGAATTGGGTGATAAAGGAGACTAATTTGCCGCCTGCTGACCAGCCCTAAATTCGGAAGCGCTGCCACTTTCCCCGGGGGAAGGACTCCGTGGGGCCACAAGTTGACGGTCCTTTTAATGCACGTCGGTGTCGGCGGACACTCGGGACATTCCGCCCCCAGGGCCACGAAGCGGTTGAGGACAGTGCTTGGCGGCCCCGCCGGGGCAGCGGCCCTGCTGGCGCCCGCCTCTGCTGCCGGCTGCCCGAGCCGGGGATCCCGGGCTCTGCGCGCCTTAGCAAACCGGGACTCGCGCCCCGGCGCGGTTACCTCTTGGGAACATCAAAACTCTGGAAGTAGGCCGGGCGCAGAGGGGCCTCAAGCTTGGTTTTCCCATAGCGGATCAGGTCCTGGAAGAGCGCGTTGCTGGGGAGCAAGCCAGGCGGCAGAAGCTGCAGCATCAGGCTCAGCAGGAAGGCGGCGGCCAGCGTGAGCCACCAAGCGTTCAGCGGGCTCAGCGCCACAAGCTCGGAACTCGCCCGGAGCCCCATGGCCAGCTTGCCCGCTTCCGCATTACCAGGATCCGCACTGCGAGCAGGCGCTGGAGCGGCCTCTAGTGCAATGCGCGCCGCTTAGGAGGACGGCACGTAGGTGACGCGACACTGGGCGGGGACGGGCTCCGCCCCGCCCAGGAGCGGCCCGGCTGGCCGCGCCAGATCCCGGGAAGCGGTCACGCTGCCCATCGCTGGAGGCTGTCTGTCCCTAGTCCCTGATTTAGAGGTTCTTAGATAGGACCCCAGAATATGATTCGACGATATGATTCAAAGAAGCGATATGATTCAAAGACAGCGTGCCTGCAAGTCTTCATTGCCGCCTATTTTCAATGTAAAAATGGTAACAATCCTGAATGTTCCACGTTAGCTATTTAAATTATGGTACAATAAAACGTTGCAATAGCATGCAGCTATTAACACATTAAATATGAAGACTGTAGAAACACGGAAAGCTGTTTATAATAACTGAAACAAGTTTAGTGGGGAAAAGAAAGCCCATTATAAAATACATAGCTATAATGGCAAGCAACTATATTACTACATGTGTGTATATATGGATAACAAAAGCAGGGCATACCCAAAATGAATATGATGTTGCGAATATGTATAACTTGTAAAGTAGAAAATCATCGAGACAATTTCAAACAACAAAAATGAAAGTGGTAAAAATTGTATTTAAAAAAACATCAGTCCTCTCCTTACTAGAGTTCCATTCCCTAGAGCAAAGTTTTTTAACACCATGAGCTGTTTTTTCTGTTATTTACCTCAGTGCTATTTCTTGACTCATCTACTTGGAATAATATTGATTTTCACTTACAATAAATAAAAATGTAACTCCAGGTAATTCTCAAAACTATTGTTGTATACCTATTACATGAGAGGCACTCTTTTGGACACTGAGGAGAGAGAGGTTTACAGGACAATGTCACAATCTTTTTGGAGCTTTTTTTTTCCTTTAAAATTATTTTATTAATTCATAAATGTACAACAGCTTCTTAACTCTACACCAGCACTTAAATTTTTTAAAGGAAAAACTTTATGTCTTATTACACCATGATCCTGGCTAATAGCTTTTCAAAACTTTGAGAAAAATCTTAAAAGAGGTTTCACGTGTCACCTGAAACTTACAAATTTAACATTATCAAAGAAGGAAAGCTTCTACACTCACAAAGACCACTAGAAAGAAACAATTAAAAAGTTAAGAAACTGTCTCAAAGGAATTTTTTTTTTACAATCCTTTCTCCACAGTAAGGTAGTGTTATTAAATAATCCAATCCATTCACAAAATGGCTCTCTGCATCTGCTGTGGTGTCTTCTGCCATATCACTGCATACTTATGCATGACTGAGATAAGAGTTTCCTTAACATTGTTATTTCGATAACCTGAAGCTGTTCTGTTACCTCTGGGCTCTCATCCTCTCCTATGTATACAGTGAAGCCCATGGCAAATAGGAAGAAGCTCAATATTGGCTTCCCCTTCTATAACCCCCACTTTCTCCACTTCCTCCAGGATCATAGTTTTCTCCACCATATGGTCCCCCCATGCTCCTGCTACCACCAAAATTTCCACTCTTCATTGGACCATAGTTAGAAGGTTGCTGGTTATAATTTCCAAAATCATCTTCATTTACACTTCCATAATTTCCTACTCCGTAGTTGTCATAACCACCTCCGTAGCCCCCACCCTGGTTGCCATAACCAGGTCCTCCTCCACCACCAGAGCCTCCTCTTCCTGCTCCATAAGCAGAGCTACCTCTAAAATTGCCACCTCCAGGTCCTCTTCCCTACCCATTATAGCCATTCCCAAATCCGCGACCACTTCCATAGCCATCTGATCCTCCTCTAAAACTTCCTGGTCCTGGCCCAAAATTTCCACCACCACCTTGAGAATCTCCAAAACCAAAGTTGCCTCCTCTTCCACTTCTAGAACTTTGAACCTCCTGCATTTCTTGTCTTTTACTTCCTAGGTTAAATTTATCCCTAAGTATTTTTTATTTTTTTGATGCAATTGTAGATGGAACTGTTTTCTTATTTTCTTTTTCTGATAGATTGTTATTGGTATATAAAAATGCAACCAATTTCTGTATTAATTTTGTACCTGGTTACTTTAGTAAATTTATTTATCAGTTCTAATAGTTTTTTGGTGAAATATTTGGTGTTCCCTATATACAGTATCATGTCATCTGCAAATAATGATAATTTTTCTTCTTCCTTTCCCATTTGGATGCCTTTTATTTATTTTCTTGTCTGATTGCTGTGGCTAGAACATCCAGTACTATGTTGAAATAAAAGTGGTGAAAGTGAACGTCCTTGTCTTGTTCATGATCTTAAGGAGGAATGCTTTTAGTTTTTCCCCATTGAGTATGATAATAGCTGTGGGTTTGTCATATATGGCCTTTTTTATGTTGGGTTATGTTCCCTCTATTCTCACTTTGCTGAGAGTTTTTATCCTAAATGGATACTGGATTTTGTCAAATGCCTTTTCTGCATCTATTGCTATGACCATATGATTTTTACCTTTCATTTTGTTTATGTGATGTATCCCATGAATTGATTTGGGGTTACTGAACCGACCTTGCATACCAGGAATGAATCCCACTTGATTGTGGTGTATGATCTTTTTGTTGTTGTTGTTTTTTGTTTTTTCTTTTTTTAGCTGAGCCATCCTGCCACCTGTTGGCAGCTCAGCGACATCTCAGCTCGGGCCAGGACTTGAACCGCTGTTGCTCAGAGCTCAAACTCTTGAGCGAGCTCTTAACCAACTGAGCCACTTGGCCGGCCCCTGATCTATTTAATGTATAGCTGAATTCAGTTTGCTCATATTTTGTTAAGGATTTTTACATTTATGTTCATTAGGGATATTGGCCCATAGTTGTCTTTTTTTGTAATGTCATTGGTTTTGTAGTCAGTGTAATGACGCCTTGTAAAATGGGCTTGGGAGCCTTTGCTCCTCTTGGATTTTTTGGAATCGTTTGAGGAGAATAGGTGTGCTGTATCCTGTGCAGCAGAAGTGATGGGGAATGAGAAGGGCGACACAGGGTTAAAGAAACACAAGAGTCAATTATAGAGTTAAAGTGAGGCCAGGGGGCTGCAGTCTGTCTCTGGAACTGAGCTCCGAATCGGGCCAATGCGTAGCTTTTATTAAGAAACTTCAAAGAAGTGAAACTTGTTTTTTCTAAAGTCCATGTAGTAAGTGCCTTATGGCTAATTTCTATCAACCAGCCCCACTGTATGCCATCAACTGCTGTGCCTTCATACTCCCACACACACAACCCCCAGGGTGGTACAGCTATGAAAATAAGGGAGATAACCGACATCATTTCGTTGGGTCTCAGCGTTCCGAGACACTCCCTTGAGGAAGCTTTACCAATATCATTCACTGGGTCTCAGCATTCCGAGACACTTCCTCGTGACCTCATTAGGTCAGGGGCAGTCGAGGATGAAGCTGTAAGGCAACATAGGTGTTAATTCTTTTTTGAATGTTTGGTAAAATTCACCTGTGAGGCCATCTGGTCCAGGACTTTTGTTTTTTGGGAGCTTGTTGATTACTGATTCAATTTCATTGGTAGTAATCAGTCTGTTCAGATTTTCTGTTTCTTCTTGATTCGGCCTTGGAAGATTGTATGTTTCTAGGAATTTATCCAGTTCTTCCAGATTGTCCAATTTATTGGCGTGTTATTGCTCGCAGTATTTTCTTTAAAAAGTTTTTGTGTTTCTGTGGTGTTTATGGTCACTTCTCTTTTATTTCTGATTTTATTTGAGTGTTCTCTCTTTTTTACTTGATGAGTCTGTTTAAAGGTTTGCCAATTTTGTTTATCTTTTCAAAAAAATAGCTCTTGGTTTCATTGATCTTTTGGGGTTTTTTTTAGCCTCTATTTTGTTTATTTCCACTCTGATCTTTATTATTTCCTTTCTTGTACTCACTTTGGGTGTTGTTTGCTTTCTTTTTTTCAGTTCCTTTAAGTGTAAAGTAAGACTTTTTTTTTGAGAGTTTTCTGTACTTTACATAGGCTTGCATTGCTATGAATTTCTCTTTTAGGACTGCTTTTGCTATGTCCCATAGATTTTGGGTCATTGTGTTTTTTCATTTTTGTTTGTCTCAAGGTATCTTTTGATTTCTTTCTCCTTGATCTTATTGTTGACCCACTCACTATTTAGTAACGTGTTATTTAGCGTCTACGTGTTTGTGTGTTTTTTAGTTTTTTTCTTGTAATTGATTTCTGGTTTTGTACTATTGTGGTCAGAAAAGACGCTTGATATGACTTCAATCTTCTTAAATTTGTTGAGACTTGTTTTGTGGCCTAACATGTGGTCTATTTTGGAAAATGTTCCATGTGTACTTGAAAAGGATGTATATTCTATTGCTTTGGGGGAAAGTGCTCTAAAAATATCCAAATAAATCCATCTGGTCTAGTGTGTTGTTTAAGGCTGCTGTTTCTGTGTTGATTTTCTGTGTAGAAGATCTGTCCATTGATGTCAATGTGGTGTTAAAGTTCCCTACTATGATTGTGTTACTGTTGATCTCTGTCTTTATGTCAGTCAATATTTGTTTTATATATTTAGGTGCTCTTATGTTGGGTGCATAAATGTTTACTAAGGTTATGTCCTCTTGTTGGATTGATCTCTTTATTATTATGTAATATTTTTCTTTGTCTCTTATTATAGTCTTTGTTTTAAAGTCTATTTCGTCTGATGTATGTATTGCTACTCCAGCTTTTTTCTCGTTTTCATTTGTGTGAAATATCTTTTTCCATCCCATTACCCGAGATGGGTCTTTTGTAGTTAGCGTATGCATAAGTCTTGTTTTCTCATCCATTCAGCTACCCTGTGTCTTTTGATTGGAGCATTTAATCCATTTACATTTAAAGTGGTTATTGATAGGTACATAATTATTGCCATTTTATGATTCATATTTTTAATTTTTGTTTGATTTCTTCTTCTGCTTAAAGAAGTCCTTTTAAGATTTCTTATAATACTGGCTTAGTGGTAATGAATTCCTTTAGTTTTTTCTTGTCTGAGAAGCTCTTTATCTCTCCTTCAATTTTAAATGATAGCCTTGCT